TCTAGAGGTTAAGGAGGGGAACACGGAGGTAGGAGGGGAACATGGAGGTAGGAGTGCTTAATAGCACCTGATTTCTGCCTGGAAGTGACTGGGCAGAACCAAGGTCAAATCACCACTGGCCCCTCAGGTTTTGAAGCAATAGTACCCACCTTATGGTAAACCTCAAACCAAATCCAATGCCATTGAATAGATTTGGGCTCATAGGGACCCAATGTAGGAGTTCTGTGTCAGTATTTCAAACCCTGTCTTGCCTGCGTCTTCCTCTACCTGGTTTCATATCTAAGCCATTTAAAAAGAATTATGTTTATTTGCATGCTAGTTTAACTGGAGGCTTACTTCTCTTTAGTAGGAAGCATGACATTAAGTGTGGTGACATATATCACCATTATAAACTAAATCCTGAACTTCTGCTCCTTCTCCTGTGGAACATGTGCTCCAGAAATGGAGAGGATTAGTGCTAGTTTGCCTTAGAAAGAGAGATTTAAGAAGAATTTCATTGCCACAAAACCCTGAGTATCAATAAGAAGGTGACGTGTGGAGAGTTCTATAGGATCTCATTTAATTTGTTGGCACTCGTATTTGGGTTCTGGAAAGCAGGGCTTTGAATCAGGTTGACAATTGGGGTTAGCACATTGTCCTTTCTCAGTAACATTTCCATTCTTCAAGTGGAATTACTGTAGTTCAGTATTGGGAGGAAATAGGAGTAGCCACTTACACATGTAACTATAATCCAAGAGAGATGTATTATATGTTTGTGTAAGGGTTGAGAGGAATGGCATGGAGTTTAATTGAGCTTTCTGATTGATACTTAATTCTACTTAAGACACCACTAAGGAGCCCTGTTGGCAAGATAAGTTCTTGAAGTTTAAACCTACCCAAGTGGCTCTGTGGGAGAAAGACCTGCCATTCTACTTCCATAAAGATTGCAGCAACAAAAATACTATTGGTTTGGCCTGCCATATCAGTGGGGTGGCTATTATTCAAAATTGATGGCATCTCGGGCAACAGTAACATAACTAGTACAGTAAGAATGAGTTTATCTCTTTCCTATAGACACTTGCACATTACAGAAAACCACTACTTCCTTAGAACAAGGAACCATGATTAGGGATAATTGCTGTAAAGTCAAATGAGATTTTTCTGAAACGTGTTTCTACATCGAATTCTACATTCAAAGGCAGAACCAATGGTTCTCAGCATTATTCCTGCTAAAGTATCAGGAGGAATGCTTCCAACAAGTGCAGATTTCAAAGCAATGTCCACCCCCCACCCATCTAGTAATTCAAAGGTAAGAACTCCTGGTAATGCAGTGGTTAAGTGCTCAGTGGCCAACCAGAAGATTGGGCATCCCAAGTCACCGGTAGCCCCAATGGAGAAAAGATCAGGCAATCTGCTCCCATAAAGGTTAAACTTAAAAACTCCCTGCCATCAACTCAATTCCAACTCCTAGCAACCCAATAGGACAGAGGAGAACTGCCCCTGAGGCTTGCTGAGACTGTGAATCTTTCTGGTAGGAGCAAGCCTCATCTTTCACATGCAGAATAGCTGGTGGTTTCTAACTGCTGACCTTGTGGTTAACAGCCCAACACTTAACCACTTACGCCAACAGGGTTAACTTGTATAAAGAATTCAGCCTCGGAAACTCCATGGGGCAGTTCTACTCTGTCCTATAGGGTTCGCGATGGTCTACATGGACTCAGGGCACACAATAACAAAGCCACAATGCTTTAAGGTAAGCTCCAGATAGCTGCATTTTAATAATCCACGTGATTCTCATGTGGGAAGTTCAAGAAACACATTCTGGAAACACTATTTTTTGTTTTGTTTTTCGTTACTTTAATTCTTAGAACCAACGTAATACCAACAGCAACTCCTTTATAATTAACTTCATAGTCACTTAGTGACTTTGTAAATTAACTGTGCAAATATTTTAATCCGTGACTGTTTTGAACTGTTACTTGTGGAAGCCACAGTTCCCAATATCACTGAGTGTACACTCAAATGCTTCTAAGACTATCAACGTCTCAGATTTCCATAGATTTTATAAAGCATGTTCCACCTTTACTAAGGTGACCAGACGTCCCGCTTTTGGCTGGAGAGTCCCAATTTTTGGTGTTTTAAAAAAGTTCCGGTTTTTGGAAAGAATGTACAACAAGCTAGGGAACGGTCTATTTGGTCCATATAGACCAAATTTTAAATCAAGAACATCCCCCCCACCCCCCCTCCGCCCTCCAGTCAACGGTGTCCCGCTTTAAATCTGGTCACCTTAACCTATACCCAAAGCTTTGTTGATTTAAAAAAGATGTATCATCCATTCCATAAGGTGACTCCAGCTCACAGTGACCCTATAAAGCAGAGCAGAGCTGCCCCTGTGGGTTTCCGTGGATTTTTGTGGGAACAAAAAGCCTCATCTTTTCTCTTTGGAGCAGCTGGTGAGTTTGATGCACCGACCTTTCAGCTGGCAGTCCTGCCCCAGGTTTCCTAGGACCTGACTCCAGGACAGTGAGTTTGGTTTTAGTTTGATGCCACTCCGATCATGTCAGTGATTGGAAAGCGGTTATTTAAAAACTGGAGATTGTGTTCTTTAGCCTAAATAACAATACTTGTATTGCTCATATCGCCACCCCATTCATGTGTTTATTATCTGAGGCACTGGGTTTGCCACGGAATTCCCAGTTCCTTCACTACAAAGACCAAATAGGCTCAAGTTGGTCTGGATCCTTGTCGGTCCCGTATGTGATTAGAAATGCGCTTGAGTGAGTTCTCAAGGGCTGAGATTTCAGAAGGGAATTGCCAGGCCTTTCTTCTGAGGTATCGATGGTTGACTCTAGCCTATACCCCTGTGCCTAGCAGCCAAGTCTATTAACTGTTCACACTGCCTGTCCTTAGACGCGATCAGTTAAATAAATAAATAAACAAAAAGTTCCTGCTTAAAATCAACTAAAAAATGAGAGAAGATAAAAAATTCGAGCTGAGTGAAAATCAGCCACACGGTTACCTGCTGGGGGAATGGCTGCTGATCACAGCTCCCTTCCCTCTTCTCGCCTGAACTTGCTGTGACTTGCATGGTTTGGGAGGCTGCAGAGTGCTGAACTCAGTTAGAATTGTCCTTTTTCTGCACCACAACGTACACTGGCCTGAAGAAGGTGCTGTTTCCCAGGAAAAGGAGTTAAATCCCCCCAAGAAATGTATAGACCCATGGTGTGAAGAGCCAGTATTGCTAAGTGAATCACTCTGTGGATTCTGCCGCAGTAATCTGACTATGTTCTGTGAGATTCTTATTTAAGATAACTTTCAGCATCTCCTTTTAAAGATCAGATACGAATGAGAAAACTTTGTTTGACTTGCTAATCTTGTGACAAACAGTTTATACCCAGTGTAGCTTCCTGTCTTTGCTGACCGGTCTTTTGAGGTTTCTTTTTCCCTCTGTGATACTCTGGAGAAGGCTCTGAAAATAAACAACATGGTTGCTTATTGGTGGGAACAGATGGGAGCAGATGGTGGCTGGAGGCAGCATGTGGCGGCAAGGTGACAGCAGACTGTGTGCGCTGGGGACCGCATGCTGGGCCTCTTGGGCCGTGCAGATGGCCTCCTTTCCATTCGAGAGGTCTGACTGGCAGGTGTCGCTCATACGTCTGTGAGAACAGCTTCCTGCATTCTGGTTAGTGGGCTGCATGTTGTTAGAGAAGGTTAGACAAGGTAAGTTACAAGGTACAAGGGAAAAACCCCTGCACTTCCATTTAAAAGTGAGTGGCCAAAGGCACAAAGATGACACCCCCCACCAAAGAAGTCGACAAGGCATTTGTTAATTTCAAAAGAAGGCAAATCTGAATCATGGCTGTGGTATTTCTGGAAGACATGCCCTCTATGAACAGAAGGTGTGTGGCTACTAATCTGTGTAAGAAGCTAGGAGAGAGAGAGAGAGAGAGAGAGAGAGAGAGAGAGAGAGAGAGAGAGAGAGGCTAGCAGACAGTAAATAAGTTAGGTCTGTAACATCATTCTATTTCTTGGGTACCTTTTATGTGTCACTCACTCTTAAGTAAATCCCCTCATTTCAATCTTATCAAAATCCTCAGCGGTAGGGTCATCCCTGCCTCATCTGATGGGAACCACAGCTTCCATACAGCACTGGTCTGATGAGTCCTAGCTAATTTGCAACAAAGTTGGTGTTTCAATCCAAATTGTTGCATGCAAACGTTCTCTTATGACTTACTGGACTACAGCAGTGAAGTCTATGGACACTCAGCAATACTTCTTCTTCAATTTATGCGAATTATTGGTGTATGAGAACACGGTGGGCGAGATGCGAAGTCTGGTTGCTGTGACTTTAAAGAAAACAGGCTTCCCCAGTTCCTTACGTCAGGACTACTGATATACGCTTAATCCCAGGAATGAAACCTAGCTTTTTAAAGTGTAGGTCATAAGCCCCAAAACCCAATGTACCCTTGCATTTTTTACTCACCTGGGAAGGTGCATTCCCATTGAAGGTAAAAAAGAACAGCAGATGGTTCAAAACAAAAAACAAAAGCAAAACACCGAAATCCAGGCCCACCAAATGAAGAAAAAACAAAATAAAAAAAACCCAAACTGTCTTGTTTTTAATAAGTAGCCTCTGTTTTATCCAAGTAGGTCAGGACCTTTTCTATACATCATGGTTTCAGGTATTTATTTTGTCATTCAGCCTAGAAATTGCTCATTGTTCCTCTAAATCTGGAAGGTAAGGTATGGTGTTGAGGCAAGACTGAGTTCAGATGCCTATTCTGGCCATGAAGGGATGCGAAGCTCTGGACCTGGGACCAGCTATCCTTGATGGAATACTTTGTGTCTGATTATCTGGCTGGTATTGTCATCCCATGGTCCCAAGTAGCAGGGACGACTGTGACTGGGGGGATGAGAAGAACATTCAGAGAGTCTCTCTTCTGCTTTGAATCTTTGTGTAGCTCTGTACAAGGCCTCTCCTCCGTCAAATAGCTAATGACTGTGCTTTTTAAAACTCCTAGCTGTCTGCCCAGTTGTTACAACACCCTCTGGCTCAGTGGGCAGCTTGTGCTCCAGACAGTCCCAGGTGCTCTGTGGGTACCTCGGTGAGTATCCTTGTCTGTTTATACCTCCTTTGACAGAGTGATATCAAGTCCATCGTTCGTATGTGTCTCCTGTGGGGAACTGGGCAGAGAGGCAAAATGGAATTCGGACATGCTGAGTAATCACAAAGGGGCCCTAAATTTTTGATTCAGACTTTAAATACGAAAACCCCCCGAATAGCTTTGAAGTGATATGATGACTTGATTGCAATATGTGAAAAAAAGTGGACGGTGGGTATATGAGATATATGTTCTAAGAGTCACGGGGGGGGGGGGGGGGGGTTTGACATCTTGGTCTTGTGATTCCATAGAGGCCACAAATCTCCATAGATTCCATGGAGAGTTGAAGAATTGCCTCGAATGTCAGAGGGCCTATTTTTGTCAGCCTGTGGTGTTAGGTAGATGGGCATGGATGATATCTTATTTGTTTCTAGACTCTTACTCTTGGCAAAAAGTTGTTGCTTAATTAATGTTGTTGTTTTTTGAAATGAACATTTTATTGTGTTTAAGGAGCGTGGTGGGTTACTCGTTGATTTGCTAACCGCAAGGTCAAGCGTTCAGAACTACCAGCTGCGCTGAGGCAGAAAGACAGGGCTTTCGACTCTGTAAAGAGTTACAGTGGAGGAAACGAGGGACAGTTCTATCCTGCCCTATGGGGTTGCTAGGAGTTGGCACCAACTCGCTGGCAGAGAGTTTGGTTTTTGAGATGAAAGCTTACATAGCAAATCAGGTTCTTGTTGGACGATCTCTACACAGCTTACCCCGTGCTGTTGGTAATACCAATGAACATTTCCTGAGCAGAAGCGGGAGAAGGACATTTTCACTCCTTGGAGGTTTTGGAGGGAGGCCTGTGGAGAGTTATGCCAATGCCATTGTCATTGGCTTTCATTTTGATATTCCTGTGTTGCATGAGCAAGTGAATTGCACGGCTCAGCCCCTCAGCTGACTGGAAGTGGGGCTTTTTGCCACTTGCCCAGACCACTTAAAATTGGCCTTAAAACCAAGTGTGAACTCCTCTGAGCCAGTGCTGTGTGTTCATCTGAGGGCTGGGCGGTCTGCCCCTTCATGTCTTGGGACAGTTCACAATTCACCAGCATTTATTGAGTGCCCACTATATTCTGGTAACGAGACTAACAAAGCAACGTCAAGGATGATCCTCACACTCCAGGCATTCGGTAGCCCAAGTTGTCCCCACACCAGGCTCAGGAAGTGTGGGAATGGAACAACTTGGCATTGGCTCAGTCAGTATTTTTAAGGCTCTGAGAAGGTTTGGCTTATGTTGATCCTCAATGTAGGTGGAGGTCCTCTGGGAGGGACAAGGGAACTATTTTTATCACCAGAGGAAATGCCTGATTTATCCGACTATTTTACTCCCGGGTGTGTAAAGGGGTATCATTCTCTCCTATGTGGAAGAGTGGGTTCAATTTCCCACCAATGAATGGCATGCACAGGCTTCACCTGGAGGTCACAGGAGGCTTGTGTGTTGTTATGCAGTCGAAGAGGTGTCAGTGGGGCTTCCAGACTAGGAATAAAAACCTGGTGATCAACTTCCAAAACACAGCCAAACAAAATCCTGGCCAATCCACAATCCATCTTGAGGTCATGAATAGCCAGGCAATATTTCATTCTGCTTTGTATGAGGTAGCAGGAGTTTGGGGTTCACTTGATAGCCATTAAGAACAATGGCAACAACCTTGTTTCTTTGGAACCTGTGTAGTTTATTTACAGGGCTCTCAACTGGGTTTGTGGAGTTTTGGTGGCACCGCCAACCACAAAATCTATGGTTCAAACCCACCAGCCTTTCTAAGGGAGAGCCTATCTGCTCCTGTAAAGATGTATCCCCTCAGAAACCCTATATAAATTCGCTATGTGTTGGCGTCAACTTGATGGCAGTGTAAAAGGGGATTGGAGGAGCCCTGTTGGGCATCGTGGGTTAAGCACTGGGCTACTTGCTGAAAAGTCGGTGGTTCAAAGCCAGAGTTGGGGCAGTGGGCTCCAGCATGACTGACAGGCTTGGAAACCCTCTGGCACAGTCCTTCGTGGTCCTATAGGATGGCTGTGAGTTGGAATCCATGTGACAGCGGTTGGCTTGGTTTTGAACAGCTCTTTTCTCAAACACAACTGGATCTATTAAGGATATGAGTAGTCATGTATTTGAATGTAGAAAGCCCCAGGGGATTTAGAAGCAGCGGCCGGCCCTGTGAACAAAAAGCATGCAAACTTCAACCCATGCTTTCAACGCCCCCTCTAGTGAGGCCGACTGTCACCTGCTGTTTACAAGCTTTACAGATGACTGTTACTTTACGATATAAACCAAAGAGTTCAATGAGCACTCTTTCCCAAGAGCGCTCATTGGAAAGCAAAAGTGAAGGGGACGAGAGAGGGCCGTTTGTGCAATATTCCCCGCGTCCTTAAACGTTAAGGCATGGCCCCCTGTGGCAGGTAGAACATGACTAGCAATATCGATTTCTCTGTAAACCGTGTTTCGGTGAAGAAAATACCTTCTCCCTGGTCACAGAGCTCTTAGCAGCAGAGCCCAAATCTGAATTCAGCTCTGAATAACCCACCGGCCCCTGCCTTTTTTGTTCTCCTGTGGGAGTCCTGTTCCCTGTATTTTATAACTTTCTTACCTACCAGGTGCCCTGGCGCCCGGTGGTTACTCCCTGGTGTGGTAGCCCTTTGAAACCACCGTTGGCTGCTCCCCTGGAGATGGATGAGGCTCTGTACCCCGGTCAAGAGTCACAATCTGGGGAAGCCACAGGCTGTTTGACCTTGTCCTACCGCGTGGTGATGAGTAGGAATCCACTCGATGGCAACCAACGAGTGCTTGGTTTTGTTAGTGAGTCCGATGTAGTCTGCAGTGAGTTACTCGTTGAGACCCACCGCTTTGTAGTATCGCTCCTCTCACGATTTCCTATCTGAGACGCCTGTGCTGGCTCCTGGGCTGGTTTATCTCCCGAGATGCTCCTCGGTTGGGATGACTTTCAATCACTTCCATGCTCCACGTTGCCTCTTGTCCTCTGTGTTCGGCCGTGTTTCTGTGGGTGGGAAGGAGGGGGCAAGCACGGGTTCTGCTGCAGGCAGGGCTCGGGTGGTGGCGGTGGCGGCGCTGGTTCGTTCATGCGCCCACCTTCCAGGCCTGTGCACACACTTCACAGTTGGCCCCTTTGCCAGTCTGCTTGGGAAGCTGCTGAGCCACGGGGCTCTGCATTTCTGTCTTTTTTCTTTCTTTCTCTCTTTTTTTTGGGTCTCTGTTCTTAGAAATAGTAATTGGGTAAAAATGTAAGTGAGTCTCTGCCAGGGGCAAGCGTCCAGGGTCAGAATGGATTTCTCCATGCGGAGTGTGATTCTGAACACTCGTCAAGTCCAGTCCGGCGGTGCCAAGCCGCTCGAGGGCCATCCCTGTCACCTTGTGTGACCCGCCTCTCCATTCCAAGGAGATGTGAGGAGCGGCCAGAGAGGGCGAGCCCGGGGCCTGGGGTGCCTCTTGGTGTTCGCACTCGCTAACCGGGGTGTAGTTGACAACTGTGTGTTTCAACAGTGATGACTGGACTGGCAGCTCGGGTGCTGGGTGAGCTTTAAATCAATGGCTCTGGAGAGGCAATCCTCTCTGTTTCCCACAGCCTGTGTGGCTGCAAAGTTCCCCCGCTCTCCCTTTTTCAGTTAGCATCCCTAACAGTATCGACTAAGATGCGGTTAGCTTTTCTGGAGGGCTTCCTCCTGAGATAGAAAAAGTGTGAGCCGCAGAGACACGTGCTCCCCGTCAGATGGGAAGGTGGATTGAAATGGTCTCAAACACTTGCTGAGCAAGAGGCTTTTAAGTAGCTAGCTCGGTTCTGTTCCGAAGGTGGGGTTCCTGAACCGTGAACTCCACTTGAGTTTCCGAGGCTTCTTCAGAAGCCCGTTGTCTGGCCCTGCATCAGAACCACGCAATCAGAATCTCTGTGGTGGGCCCACCGAGAAGCCTGCACTCTGCAAACCAGTCCTGTAGGCGGTTTCTGTGCTTCACGACGTTGACTGTCATTGGAAGCTTTGGAGCGCAGCCCTGGGGTGCACCAGCTAACCACTTCACTGCCACTGAAAGGGTGGCAGTGGGACGCACCAGCTGCTCTGTGGGAGACCGATGAGACCCCAGCAATCTGCCCCCATGAAAGCTAAGCCAGGAAGCTTTATGAGACATGTCTGTTTGGTTCTGGAGGATGCAACAAGCACCCAACCATAAGAAGAAGGTTCTTATGATCTATGTATTATATGATATATGTGTTAATCACTGTGAATAATAATAAAAGAAGGCAATGGATGCTTGGATTGAGCTGGTCTGTTGACTCACAGTGGGCTGGCCTGTGGGTCCAGAGCCACAGGAGCTTCTGTTTGATCGAAAGCCTCATCTTTCTCCCATGGGACAGCCTGGTGGTTTCAAACTGTTGACCTTGAGGTTAGCAGCCCAATGTGTGCCCACTATGCCACTAGGGCTCCTTACAGAGGAGGTTGATCAGCCCCATGGGTGGTGGATGCCTGCCTTGGAAGTTACAGTGTGAGTGAATTCCTTCTCTACGGTGCCTTTAACTGGGCAACTGGAGTAGGAAGGAGATGTACTAAGTTCATGTATAATGTAGAAGCCAGATACATTTTATAATGTATAAGTTAATGTATAATTGCCCCAGGCACACTGTTTGTCAAAGCAAGCTGACCTCGTTGTGGTCCGTGACCCCTTTTGAGCTTTTCTTGGGGTAAGGATCCAGCCCACTAAGGAATGTAAACACGGCTGCCATGTTCAGCACCCTCATGTTCAAGTAGCTGTGTGCTTCTCTTTCCAAACCGCGGCTCTTTCAACTAGAGATACTCATGCCGGTGACAAGCTGACCCCGCCAACGTTAATGATACATTACTTGGTATTTACTTTGTGCCACCCAGTGTCACCTGCTATTCTGACATTATTTTTGAACGACTCAGTATTCTGAATCCAGCCATGCTGTGTGACTCTTCTGTCACTTCAGAAATAG